GGGATAGCTTAGAAAAGTTATTGCTGTGATGAAGCTAAGTGGCCTAACAAAGGTCCAGCTGATTATAGTGGTTGTGCTGAACACAGAGATTGTGTGGAAAATGCAGTCTTCTCCCTAAAACTTTACACTGTGTCCCCAGCTATCAAGAAACAGTTGATTGACCCCCTTTACTCACAGCTTTGGTTGCCCTGGTCACCAGCTGTGAGAGCTCAAGTAATGTCATACCAGGGATGGCATTTTCTTGGGAGTGTTTGGGGGAACAAAGGTGATGCGTAGGGCCAATGATCACTTAGGTGCCAACGTAGGATGTCCTTTAGCGGTCTGGCTGGGGGCTGCATCTCGGTTTTGGAAAGATTTGGCACCTCTATGTTTAAGATAAGCAATTTAGCCTTTCATTTTTTTTATTTTTTCTTTGCTGGCCTTATCTCACTTTGACTTATTACTTCATGACAAATCACAATCAGCCTGGGTGTTTTGTAACACTTACCCAGTTGTAAAAGTTTAAACAATGCCAGTTAAGGAACTGTGTAATATCCTAATATCTCACCTCTTTACTACTTCTCCTGTACCAGAGGGCTTCTTAAGGAATTTCCTTATTTCTCATTCAACATGGTTGCTTACCATTTGAAGCTAAATTGGGTAGGTAAGCCATGCTAATACAGTATAGGCAGGAAATGAATAGATTACAATTAGGCCATTCATAAGAGCAGAAAGATACCATTATCCAATGAATAGGTAAACAAATTTTCAATATTCAGATTATTTTAATTTGCAGATGCAAGGAAAATGCAAGGTAGCCTGTTTAAAGCTATGAAACAGCAAGAAGATTTAAATCAGTTTCCTTGTTCAGAAGTCAGTTGGTGGCCTAAATGTCTGAATGAATAGACCGAATCCAAGGAATTAAGACCTCAACAAAGCATGGCTCAGAAATAAAACAGATGTAAGGATTCAGAGCCAAACATTTTTTTTTCCTTCCAGTATCTTTTGGTAGTACAGAATAGATTTACTCAATAGACACAGCATAGGATAATACATAGAATATAATGGGTTTCTGAAGAAGCCAAATACAAACTTCATTAATGTTAAGTGGGTTGGTTTGTTTGTTTATTTTCATCATATTTATATGGCTGCCCATCTCACAGACAAATGATTCTGGGCGGTGTACAACAAAGCTAACAGTGTATGCAAACAAGTAATATTATTATTAAAAACTTGAAAATTATAAAAGGCACAAAGCGCGTGTATATATATATATATATATATATGGCAAAGAGCAGATGTTAATTATACTGGAGCAATCTCAATATTTTGCCAGTCCCCTGGGGTCCCCAGGCCTGATGACACAACCAAGTCTTGAGGGACTTTTGGAAAATTAAAAGGGATGAGGCCCACCTCACCTGAGGGGGAAGAATATTCCATAAAGCAGGGACCGCAGCAGAAAAGGCCAATTGCCTAGGACCCGCCAAGTAAAGGCTCCTTAACCAACAGGACCTGCTAGATCTGGTGGGACAGGCAAATGTAATTGGTGAGAGGTAGTCCCTCAAATATCCTGGTCCTGTGACAGGTAGGGCTTTAAAGGCCTAAACCAGAACCTTGAATTGGACCCGGAAACAGACTGGTAACCAACACAGCTTATGGAGCAGAGATATTATGTGTGTTCTTCTAGAAACACACATTAGTGCCCCCACCGCTGTATTCTGTACTAGCTGAAGCTTCCAGATACACTTCAAGGGCAGCCCCATGTAGAGCGCATTACAGTAGTCCAACCAGGAGGTGACTAGAGCATGAGTGACTGGGAGTAGAGCCCCTCCTTGCCATGACTGCCACCTGCTCGAGCAGGAGTCATGAGTCTAGGAGAACCCTCAGATTGCACACGGGGTCTGTTTGGGGCAGTGCAACCCCTTCCAACACCAAAGATGGTATAGTCCTAGAACCAGCAGGCCCCAAAACCCAAAGCCACTCAGTTTTGCAAGGGTTCAGTTGAAGGCCATTGTTCCCTATCCAAACTCTCACAGCCTCCAGACACCAGGCTAAGATGTTCATAGTATCGCTTATTTGTTAGGGGAGAACTGATGATACCTCACCCCATGGTGACAGATGAGCTCACCCAGCGGTCTCATGTAGATGTGAATATGAGCAGAGAGAGCACCGAACCTTGCTCTCCCCCCACCCCGATCACCACAACTGGAATCAACCCCGAAGAAAGGAGGTGAACCAGCAGAACACTGTGCCATCCATTCCCAATCCTCTGAGTTGATCTAAAAGGATACCATGGTCAATGGTATCAAAAGCAGCCGAGAGGTTGGGTAGGGCAAAGATGGATGCATAACCCCCATCCAGTCTATGCCAGACATCATCCAAAAGTGCAACCAATACCATTTCCATCCCATATCCGGGTCTGAATCCTGACTGAAAAGGATCCAGATAATCCGCTTCATGTAGGGTCCTTTGAAGCTGGGCAGAAGGGGAAGTTAGATTCTGGACAAAAAGTGTCCAGTGATGGCCTCTTGAGGAGGGGGCAAACCAAGTCCTCTTAAGAGGTAATGGAACAACCCCCTCCCTCAAAGAATAATTTACTACTGCTAGAACCCACTCACACGACACTCCCCAGGCTCCCTTAACAAGCCAGGATGGGCATGGATCTAAAGAGCAGGTGGCTGAGCTCACAGTCCTAAGGACCCTGTCCACTTCA